TCGCTCATAAAATAGTCTACGAACGTATTACGTATTGTATTGGCTGCTGGAACTCTCATTACAAATGAGTAATGACCATGATCACGGCTTCATCGTCTATTGATTTCCTAGGATTATCTCCATCTCTGGCTCTGACGAAATTATGTGAAACTTAGGAACACTTTACAATATCGATTGCTAAGTGTGTTGACGTTTAAGGGACGATGGAAAATTCTCCATTTATTGGACAATACACCAAAGGCACATTCTACGTACCGCCTGGCTCTTGAGAGGCGATTTTCAAACACACGCTTTGTCGTGGGCAAGTTCCTTCCACTATAAGGACGCACGATATATGGACTCAAACCAAAAGCTTCGCTAGCAACAAAAACAAAAGGCATATCTTCACTTCGTGTTTGATAATGTTTCTAAGTGCGGTAGTTTTATCTGGTCGTGTTGTAGATGATCATATAATGTAGCTTTTTTGAAAAATCGTTGGGTCACACTCTTTTCTATATGCGCCCAGGTCTATATAAATAAACCTGTGGTCTGCATCAACTACAGCAAACACTACAATAGAGAAAAACTCTTTGTAGTTAAAAAAGTGATCCACTACGGTTAGGTTTAATCATTCCGATATGTGTTTGCCATCCATGGCGACAATGCAGTGAGGAAAGTTAGCTTTAGACTCGTAGTCTCTAGCGATTTCTTTTAATCGCTGTTTTGTTAATTCTGGCATACATTCTTGTGATAGTTAATTCCGAATCGCTTTACATGTGCATCTTATTATTTCACCTACAGTAGATATTCCAAGCTTAAAATTTTCGTGCAGGTCAGTGAATGTATGTCCCTTGGCCAAATATCCGAAAAACAAATAAAAATTTATAATGTGGAGAATGTCACTTACCATTTTTTTTCAGGTAAATCTGTCTTCAAGAAATAGAAGAGTGTGAATGACAATAATACCTAACAAAGATAAAAACAAAGAGATCAGGATCAGCTGCAAGTGGTATAAAAAAATTTTTTTTGAACAATTATCCTTTTTGAGAAAAATTGCTCTTGCCGAGACAAGATCGAGTATTGTAACTAACAGTACAACTCAGAATCAAGAAGAACAATCTGAACAACCACGCGAAGAATCTCCTAATGAACAGCAAGCTTCAATTCAAGCAAGCTACAAAACAATAAAAAATAAAAATATAAATTTCTTTGCAACTTTCCGCTAAACATATAAAATGATGTGTCTTACCTGGATTGAAGCGCACCTCCCGCCCTCCCTCAATTGCATACACTAACTCCGTCACCACTAGACCAAGCACCACTACTCTCAACACCACTATTCCAGGCAAGACACACCATCGACGATAATACGACACGTGTTTCGCCTCTACACGAGGCATCCTCAGGTAATATAGACTCTACGGTGGCTGACCGCTAACAATGTCCGACGAAAAATTACCCGATTTTAATTAATATTAGCTCTATTACTACTAAAATTTTGTACCTTACTTTACTGTGTGCCTAAATAATACTAAACTAAAATAAAACTTGATTTCATAATACATCAAATTTTTTTTCTTACGTTAACGTCACCATTAACATTTCAGGAGGTGAAATACATTCACAAGACATACACAAGAAGAATTATACAAATATGAGGTTGTATAATTCTTCCGCAAACCGTTGTAGACGCGTTCTAATTATTGGTCGAATTTACCAATACTCATACGGAAACAGTTTTACGGAATTTCTTAGGATTTCTTCTCAAGCTCAAGCAATCACAATAAAACTTTCCATTACTTTTCTTGGAAGATATAAAGGGATTGATCCAAATAATTCTTGTTTTTCTCTTACAACGACGACGCACACAATAACCTCGGTGTTGTCCATTCTGTACGACTGATCGAGCGAGACTGGTCTATGAACGCGCCGCGTAAGCCGCGTTTGTGCCACTGGCTCTGCAGTGAAACGCTGCAGCTCGTGCGACACCGCGGCGGCAGCGATTTTCGCCGCCGCGGTGCATGTGTAATCACCCTAAGGCCTTGCCGCCTTTTTTCGGAGCTTTATGCCCCATTTACATTCAGCTCTGTTGGGCAGGGAAGTGAGCAGGGCGGTGGGCAGGGCAGTATGTAAACAGGCTACTCGCGCTGACACTGCCTCTGCCGCTGCCACTGCCCGACGATCGCTCAAATGTCGGTTTTTCGTGCGGAAGTCAAAGGACGAACAGCGCGAGCGGCAATGAGTGTTCACATTCAGCTCCATCGCTCACTTCGCGACAAACGCCTGGATGAACAGACGTGCGTGCGGTCTTGTTATTAAATAAGTACGATTTACCAAAATGCCTTTCGAGTGGAATAATGAAAATACAATAAAGTTTTAGAACTGCTGGAATCAGGAAAAACTATATGGGATTTCAACGATAAAAACCACAATTCATCATCTTCTACGAATACGAATTTTCTTTTTGAGATAGCATAGTACCTACCTATGTACATAATTAATTATAAATTCGTCAAATTTATTATATTAATATAAAATTTAGTTTAAGGAATTAATGAACATTGACATTTTATTTTTAACAACGATTAGTAACTCATATTATTTATTTATTAAAATGTGAAATAAGTTAAATGGTAATATTTGCATAATAGCCTGAGATTTTTAAATTATAATTTTATTGTAGTTAAAATTATGAATTAATTAATACTGTAGTGTAATTATTAAAATAATAATGGCTTAACTAATCTCATATAATATTTAATATTATTTATGTAACAATAATGTAATAATTCAATTAATAATTTTTGAACAATTTACAGTATAAGAATTCAAATAGAGTGGATCTGTATGAGTATTTAATTGTACATAATACCTATTTGAATTCAAAAAGAATGTTTGTAACTAACTTTTAAGCAATACAATAATTTTAAAATGTAACATTGGGTTTGTGTAATTAGCTGTATTTCATATCACTTTTGCATGCCAATTATGGCAAAACATGTCAGTTCCACGTCATTGATCATCTTATATACCATGTTTTTAAGCAAATAAATTTTCTATCTATCTATCTATCTTCTTTCGAATTTGAAATCTTTTAAATTATTAACATAATTTTTTATTGAAAGAAGAGACAGCGCGGACGCTGTAATTATTTCGACGTCTGCCATAGTCGAAAGCCGAAAGCGATGTGAGTGGTAGGGCAGAGTGTGAATACACACTTCCCGCGATCCTGCTACGGCAGTATTTAGCGAAGTATTGCCGGCAGCGCGAGGAGCAGTGGAAGGGGCTGAATGTAAATGAGGCATTAGTGTGCTTCTTGAGGAATGCGACGGCAAGCCGGTTGCGCTAGCCGTCACAACCTTCAAGGGCGCCGGAAGGGGAACGAAGCCCTAGACATGGTCAATCATTCATTTCTAGCGACCGAATCATTCTAATACATTTCGTCACGCGTACTTATACATTCGGATCGATCATTCAAATGGATCATTTCAGGCTCCAGTACTCTATGAAATCCATTGGGAACCGAAAATTTTTACATTTACTTGCATGCAACAAAATTAAACATTTACCTATCTTATACTTATATAAGGTGGTTGAAAATTATCGTTAAATAAATCATTTATCATAAAATCTTTTCAAGTGTTATTTTTTAATAAACTCTACGTAATGATATTTTTAACTCGTAGATTTAACAACTAAATATAATAAAATGTAAAATAATTTTTAATTTAGGTAACAATATTATAATAAAAAATTCTCTGCACTGTTAATACGATTCTGCTCTTTATTCAAAATATTCGAGATTCGGTCGTTTTGCGGCTCATTCACAATTCAAACAAATCGCGGGTTAAAAAGGTAACGTCAATTGTTTATGATTGTTTGTACTGGTACATTCAAAAACAAATGAATGAACCATCAATATTTGTAAGTGTACCAGCTCAAAAGAACGAATCATGCATGATTGGCACATGTCTACGAAGCCTCTTTGGAGCCCTCTTGTGGTGAATTAGGCAAGTACACATGAAAGGATAACGATCGGTAATCTCCGAAAGGTCAAGCATTTGGCAAGACCCGAAATAATCGTTTTCCTCTTTTCGGAGTTCAACACATTGTATAATATGATATAAATTAATACATGGTTGATAATAACCTCTGAAAATGAGGTGATCGCTTCCGAACTGTTTCTAAAATAAATTTTATATATACTGTTATTTACTGCTTACAGATGGCCACTTTTTCAACTATTCTACTATGGGAGGTAGATGGATGGAGGAGGATGGTACTCCTTGCTTCTACACTCCATAAAATGAAGCTATTATGGAAAATCTGAGGAGAAAAGGATAAATGAGCAAAGTTGTAATTGTAAGTTACTCATCATCATCATCATCATTACAGCCCTTCACAAGTCCACTGCTGAACATAGGCCTCCCCCAAGCAATGCCACAAAGCACGGTCCTGAGCCACCTGCATCCATCGACTTCCTGCATGTCTTACCAGGTCGTCACTCCATCTAGTGGGGGGTCGCCCTACACTACGCCTACCGGTACGAGGCTGCCGCTCGAGAACCTTTCTGCCCCATCGGTTATCGGTTCTTCGAGCTATATGGCCGGCCCATTGCCACTTCAGCTTACTAATTCATTGGGCTATGTCGGTAACTCTGGTTCTACTGCGGATATCCTCAGTAGTTTATACCACTAAAATTTTTTGTTTGTGGATTTTAGTAAATTACGTTTTGTAGTTTTGTCATCCCATTTGTATTCCTCATATCTCTGAATTTAAACTTACGACATAAGATTTGAAAATCTCACAGTATTAATAACAACCTTATTTCAAGATATTGTAGACACTATTTGCTTTAATAAAATGGATTAGTTAACCTATAAGATATAAATATATTTTTCAATGTTCATTCAACATTGCAAGATATTAAATTTCTTTTACTTGGTTCAGTTTCCTACAAAATTTTTTGTTTGTCTGTGTGATATAATTTAAAGTTAAAACTAGTGAGAATTGACATGTACCTGCATTTGTAGGTACTTTCTTGGTCGCCTGTACTTTCTTCTTTTTACTTCTCCATTTGGCCCTATTATAATATCTTTTTCACTAAGCTTCCGTTTCAAGGGCCTTATCATAGGGCCCATTAGTGGATTTAATTGTCCTGGTAATGAAAACCGTGAGTGGAAATGGTGTTGCTTTCCATTTTGTTTATTGCTTAAGATCATTGTCGTCGAAAACGAGGTTTTCGTTGTATATTTGTTCTGCATTAAAAATGGGTTATTTTTGCCCTGAAAGTCTTTAAGCGGTGGTATAATTGCATCGAGCGTCCCCCTACTAGATGTTTCGTCGCCTGACGACTCCATATCATGGGTAAAGTTGCTACTGTATGCGGGTAGACTGTCCATGTGTTGTAATGACATTATTTTGGAATGTTCAATGATGTTTTTAGTGGATAACTTAGAAAGTTCTAGATTCATTGTTGCTATTCTAGTTGTATGACTATTGATGTTTATGATGCTAGTGACTGCTTTGCTTACGTTGCTTTCGTCGGCATTTTCTTTTGGTATTTTATCTAACTTAACTGAACAAGGGAGTAGGGACACATTGCATGATGGCACTGGTGTGGTTTCGCTCGGTTTAGCTTCGTTAGATTCAGTTTCATTAATTTCAGACATTTTCTCTAAATGATCATCTTTGGCATTGGATTTCCTAACAGTGGAGGTACAAACAGAGGGTGACGGTTGTTCGTCCCGTTCAGTGGGTTTAACAGATTCATAGGAACTCGTCGAGTCATTCTCGGAGTTAGAATTCGAATTGAGATTTTCGTGAAACCTTTTACCCATCATCAGGTTCAACCAGTGACCATCAACGGGCACGATCATGCGTTGATTATGATTTTTATAGGAACTTTTCTCATTGTTACTACTCGAGGGTTGCGAACTGCAAATAAAAGATAATATTAGCGACAATAATATCAATTTTCATCATTATTTTTTGAAAAAGTTATCATTTTTTTCCATCCCACCTGTCATCAACTTCGGAAACAGTATGTGGCGAAGGAGCTCGTGATAAAAATCGAAGTCTAGGCGCATATTCACGTACTAATTCATCGGTGAGAGGCTCCCCTTTTTTGATCTGTAAGCAGAAAGTAGCTTAAATAGTGTTTTCACGGATAAAATTCGTGTAAATAAAATAAAATTGAGCGAAAATATGGGGTGGTGGAAAATCTTTCACCATTACTACATGGTGCGTTTTTTTTATAAATTAACAAGTTATAAAATTTTTGTATAACCTACTTCATATAAATAAAGTGTGAACATCATCAATGTAGTCGAAGTCACCGCACTGTTAAGCACGCAATACGCATTATTAAGGATAACTCAAAAACTACTGGTCAGATCTTGATCAAAATTATATGGGACCACATGAGTAGCTTCAGCTTTCAAATAAAAAAAGAATCATCAAAATCTGTTCACTTAGAAAAACCATACAGTCTAATTGAGTACCTCCTTCTTTTTAAGGTCAGATAAAATTTTTCTTTTCAATATTTTTTAGGACAAACTAATCAAGAAAAATGTTTTCGTCGCATGCCATTACGAGCGCCATAGTTTTTTTTTTTAAATGATCGATCGTTCGTCAAATAAACGTACTTTGTGTAAAATGTGTAGATGTAAACGGTAGACTTAAATTTTAGGATGTCGTTAGGTCTTTTGGTGTCAGTCACTTTAACTTACTGATAGAGACAGCACGAGACTTGTCGGTTAGACATGTCATTCAGTCATTCATTTATAGTGACCAGATCATTAAACTATTGATTCGTCTTATGAACCGGGTCGATCATACAAATGATCATTTCGAGTTTCAGTACTCTGTGAAACCCCCTCGATAATATCAATCGTTGGACATTATTTTCGTCAATCGTTTGATCCGGAACGTTCCAGAAATGTTACAATCATCAATACTTTGATGCGCGACCCGGGTCACATGAACGAATCATTTACGATTCACACATTTCTATTAACGGCATCTTAAAGTTGAGGAGCGATTGTGTATTTGGGCATAAGAGGCGGTCGTGAGTGCGGTGGACGAGCGGGCACCTGGTCGAGCGCGGCGAGCTGGTGCGGCGGCGGCGGCGGGCGGCGCAGGCGCAGGCCCCAGATGGTGGCGCGCTTCTTCATCTCGCGCCCGCACTTGAATCGCTTGCGCGACGACGTCAGCGCCGTCAGGATCTTCTCGCGCCGCTCGTTCACCGGCGTCCGCCACATCTGCGCATCACCATACCCTTTCACTCACATTATAATGACTGCTATTTCTAATGACAACGTTTTCTGCCACCAGGGCGACGCGACGCTACTTTGGAATGAGTTGAAATAATTGACAGATTTCATAGCGGGCAAAGTAACACGTTACAGTAAGATTAGTGTTTTTTTTTTTGTATTTTATATTAATTATATTTGAAGGATCCTAAAAGCGATGGAGATGAGGGCTCACCAGATGTCGCTAGTTGGGACTAAAGTGAACTTATTCGTTACTCAGTTAAGTTGCAATGAGTTTTTCGATTTCCAGTGTATGTATATACACAAAAAATTACCTCAAAGTTGCTGTATTCCTTAATTTTTAACAAATTTTAACCCTATCGTTCTAACCTGGCCAAAGTGGTAGATGAGCATCAAAAGAATTGGGACCAATATATTCCTCCTCTGGTTTTGTCATCTTATCGTTATTGTCTACGAGAGGGACACTGAAAGTTTTTAGAACTGGCCATTTGTAAACGATATAATAAGTTCAAATTGTGAAAATGAAACTCTTTGCAAATATTATTGTGTACGTATTTTATTAATTTGTAATTTGTTTACGATTTGGCGGCAAATGGAAAATTGTCTGTGTCAAATCGGCATGAATTTAACGCGAAAAAATATGACTTTCAATTTTTTATATAGAAGAGGGGGCAAACGAGCATACGGTTCACCTGTTAAGTGACTACCGCAGCCCATGAACAACCGCAACACCAGGGGAATTGAAGGTGCGTTGCCGGCCCTTTAGAAAGGAGTAAGCTCTTTTCTTGAAGGTCCCCAGGTCGTATCGGTAGAGGTCGTACGCGGAAGAAAACTCCTAGTGAAACGTACAGTTGTGGACCGCCAAGCATCCAGATGGTGTGGATGGTAGCGGGAGGTTTACCTCGTAGCGCGTTCATGAAATTTGGCGGCTGGGATTAATCAGAACAATTCCACAGAGCAATCCCCGTGATAGATGCGATAAAATACGCAAAGAGATGCAACATCTCTTCGCAGCGCCAGTGAATCGAGCCGATCGGAAAGCACTCGGTCGTCGACGATCGAGCCGCTCTGCGCAGGATGCGGTGAAGTAAAGGAGCTGGTACTGGGGAGCCCCAGCCCAGAGATGGGAACAGTATTCCATGTGCGGCCGAACCTGCGCCTTGTAAAATTGCAGGCGGCGTGCCGGCATGAAATACTCTCCCGCTCTGCTGAGCATGCCAAGCTTTTTAGAGGCCAATTCGGCCTTCTCTTCCAAGTGACCACGAAACTACACGTCACTCGATACGTCGACGCCGAGGATTCCGATACTGGCTGAGGCAACAAGGAGAGTGCCTTGAAACTGAGGAGATACGACAAAGTGACAAAGGGGTTCTTTTTAGCGGTTAACGAGCAAAGTTGTGTCTTCTGAGTGTTAAACTGGACTAGATTTAGTCGCCCCCAATCCGAGACTTTGTTCAGCAAAGACTCGACTTCAGACACAAGTTTGTCCCGGTACCCGAGTACGCGTAGCGTTTTCCTGAGATATATTGGCACTGCCGCTGTACAGAGCATCACCAGTGCTGTCATCCGCATAGCAATGAATGTTGCCTGTTTGCAACATATCATTGATATGCAGAAGAAACAGCGTTGGTGATAGAACGCAGTAGTGGAAAACAAGATTAGTAGGTTTAATAGCTAACCTTGATGTTGCAAGCTCAATTGCACAATTTCTCGAGAAGCCCATAAAGAGGGAGCTTCGTAAAGAAGTGCTTTGTGCCAAACCCGATCGAAGGCCTTCGCAATATCTAAACTAACGGCCAATGCCTCCCCCTTGGACTCTATTGCCGCCGCCCATCTATGAGTCAGGTAAACCAGAAGATTAGTGATCGCCAATACGGTTTTCGTCGTGGTCGATCAGCTGGTGATTCTCAAGGTACCTCATGAGCTGGGAGTTTACAATGGGTTCCATTGTTTTGGAGAACAAGGATGTGATGGCGATGAGCCTGTAGTTGGCCGGGTCTGAGCGGTCGCCTGTTTTACGGATCGGGTGGACGAAAGCCGTCTTCCATGATTTCGGGACTACGCCTAGAGAGTACGAGTACCAGAAAAGACGCGTTAAGACCGGTGCCAACTCTGGAGCACACGTCCTCAGCACAATTGGGGGGATACCGTCAGGCCAACTCGACTTGTGGATGTCCAGGGAGAGGAGTGCTTTGCGAACGAGTGCAGGAGCGCTGTGAACCGCACCTGCGGCATGGAAAACTCACACCGAGGGATGGTCGGCGGCATACTCCCCCCATCATCGAGAGTCGAGTTGGACGCAAAGAAAGAGCCTAGCAGATCGGCTTTCTCCTTTGCGGCATAGGCCAGTGAGTCGTCCTCTCTGTGCAGAGATGGCTTACAGAAATTCCCCTGAACAGCCTTGGCGAGAGACCAGAATGAACGGATTCCAGAAGGAAGGCGAACTAGTTTCTCGCCAATTCTGCCTATGTGCTCTGACTTTGTCTTGGCAATGACTCTTTTGAAGGACCTGGAGGCGGAATTAAACTTCTTTTTTAGAGCGCTGTTGTTTACATCCCGGGACGATGATGCGTCAGCTCAGGCTTGGTAGCACTCCTAGGAAGGTATTGTTATCGTTATGATATAAGTTTGGGTTTTCGAAGACGAGGTCAAGCCAACGAAAGTGGTTCGCTCCCACAGTGTCAAAGAAATAGGTCGCTACGTTTGTCTCGAAAAAGGGGCAACGGTTACCGCTGAGTGGTATATCACGATTTGCTTGCCAGAAATGATAGCCGAACTCCGAAAAAATAACCCGAAACGTCGCATCATCTTACATCACGATAATGCGAGCTCCCATACGGCTCGGATGATAAATTATTTTTTGAAGCAGGAAAACGTTGAGCTGATGAGCCATCCTCCTTACAGTCCTGACCTGAGCCCAAACGTTTTCTTTACATTCCTTAGAATGAAAGATTTATTACGCGGTTAACGGTTTGAAGACCCCGAAGCAGCTGTGGAAGGGTACAAATCAGCCATTTTGTCAACATCAACTTCAGACTGGAATTACTGTTTTAATTATTGGTTTGCACGAATAGAAAAGTGCGTTAAGTTGAACGGAGAATACTTCGAAAAACAATAAAATACAATTTAGCTATACCGTGCATATGGTTTTTATTATTCCCGATCATTTGTGTGCCCCTCGTAACATTAATATTTATAGAAACAGAATCTTTCTGTATGAACGAATAAAACAGTATTAATTTTGTTTTTTTTTATTTGTGGATGTTATTGCAACCAGTACTAACTTTGGTACTAACAGGTCCTCATATAGTCTGCATTTTGTAATAAGCACACATTTTGATTCCGGTATTATCGTTAATGCTGTAACAAACCTGGATCCTAGTTTAAATCTGTACTAATGTATTTTTTTGGAATAAGACCAAGAAATTTCTGTACTTATTTTATCGAGTATAAAAGCGTATGCCGGGGAGGGGTCAATAATTTCGAGAATAAGAAAGTGAACTAATTCCGGGAAGCGACTACGAGAATTCGACCTACGACACCGGCGAATTTTAAAGACTTCACCGAAGAAGTTTAGCGATTTTAGACGACGATTATAAATTTGCAATGTATGTGGGAAAATACATAATTTTTTATCCTAATCGGCATTTTTACTGACCCCGCACGTAACAATATAATGTATGCATGTTTTTTAATTGATATAACGAGCATTTTTCATGACTTCCTGGGAGTGAATGGGCCATAGATCTTTCTGTTCCGGTCAATAGCTGATGCTTCCTGCATGCTTATTTTCTCTGGCCTTGGCATCCACGCGACGAATCGGGAGTTGCAGGTGGTTAGGCTGTGTCCAAGTCCACTGCTGAACATAGGCCTCCCCCAAGTAATGCCACAAAGCACGGTCCTGAGCCACCTGCATCCATCGACTTCCTGCATGTCTTACCAGGTCGTCACTCCATCTAGTGGGGGGTCGCCCTGCACTACGCCTACCGGTACGAGGCTGCCACTCGAGAACCTTTCTTCCTCATCGGTTATCGGTTCTTCGAGCTATATGGCCGGCCCATTGCCACTTCAGCTTACTAATCCGTTGGGCTATGTCGGTCACTCTGGTTTTACTGCGGATATCCTCATTTGTGAGTCTATCACGCAGAGAAACTCCGAGCATAGCCCTCTCCATAGCTCGCTGAGCGACCTTGAGCGTCCTCATACAGCCAGCAGTGAAGGACCACGTCTCAGATCCGTAAGTCATCACTGGCAACACGCACTGGTTGTACAGTCTAGTTTTTAGAGATTGAGGTATACCTGACGAGAAGATGTGCCGTAATTTCCCGAACGCTGCCCAGCCGAGTTGAATCCGTCGATTGACCTCTCGGTCGAAGTTGAACTTACCTAGTCGGACAATTTGTCCCAGGTAAACGTACTCGTCAACATTTGAGCTTGGTGCTCCCAACAACTACCGGCATAGGTGTGACATGGACATTAAACATCTTTGTTTTGTCCATGTTCATCTTAAGACCTATCCGTTGGGAGACACTATTGAGGTCATTGAGCATAGTGCTTAAGTCCTCCAGTGACTGCTATAAGGGCTATATCGTCGGCAAATCGAAGGTGAGTGATGTACTCGCCATTGATGTTAATACCGTATCCTTTCCAGTCCAGTAGCTTGAAAACGTCTTCCAATGCAGCAGTGAAGAGTTTCGGGGAAATAATGTCACCCTGTCTTACACTTCTCTGCATTTGGATAGGTTTCATACTCTGGTTCTGTACTCGGATAGCCATCGTATAAACACTTCAGCACCTCGATATACCGACAGTCAACTTGTCACCGCTGAAGAGACATATGTACATTAAAAGCTCCTTATTCGCGCTTCCTTCATTCGCTTTTTTGCTATTTGCGGATTAAAAAATACGACCAATTCCTATAGGTATTCGCGACTAAAAACTTCTTTATTCGCGGATCTAATCGGTACATCGGTACATACATATTATATTAATAAAAAGGATTATAATAGGGGTATCCTTTGTACAATGGACTAATAAAAAGTAAAATAGACCTTATTACAACTATGCCTAAAGTATGTTATTAAATGATATCGCCGCTGTATTGGTTCGACCTTTGACATAAGCCGCCTCCGCCGCGGCCTATGTTTTTGAGAATGTAAAACAAACAGATTGAAAGCGACCTTATTACTCAATGTACAAAGTATATTTTTAAATGCTGCCACATAGACGTTCCGTCCGTTGGTAAGAGCCGCTTTGCATGTTTAATTGTTTGTTGTTTCATCTTTCCATTCGTTATAAAAGTTGTGATCGAGTAACACGTTCTAACGCTGTCTTCCTAATTTATAATGTCGACTAAAAATAAAAGAAAAACGAGTTTCAACAAGCACTGTAAATGTTACATTTAATATGAACAAAACCAATTAAATTAATTTTTTTGTTTATGCATTTGTTTTTTATTTTGTCACCTAGGAACGTATCCCCTATAATCTCAATTAAACCACTATTCCATATTCATAGTTTCTGTATTCGTGGGGCATATTTACAGAACACATACCCCGCGAATAACTTTTACTGTACTGCAAAATAAAAAAAATGTTATTGTGTAGTGTATTTTAGCTTTTCGTTTGAAGAATTTCGTTGTGAACAACAGTTCTTTGCGTAAAAAGGTTGTTTGAAAGAAATCACTTCCAGACCGACAAGACCGCCATATTGCACCTTCTTTATAAGGTGTCTTCCTTATATATATATATATATATATATATATATATATATATATATATATATATTTCAATTACATTTACAATAAAGAATAAGTCATCAGTTGATTATTTCGTGTACTTAGCATAAACTAGCGCCCTCATACAACATCAAGATCTATGTTATAAAACTAAGTTAGAACCAAAAATAGTTACTAAACACACAAATTAATAATTTTATAATCATAAATCAAAAATAATAACAATAAATAAAACTTTTTAAGGATTTTATCGCGTTTAATTTAGTTGATTTTAATTCCCAACGTTTTGGGTGCTTTTCCAGCACCCATTGGTGGTAGATCTGGTTTGTTTTGTTTGGTAGTAGATTATTACTTATGGTCCGATATGCGTAGATTGAATAAGTAATAATTAAAAATTAAACGTACTCCGGGTTAGCACTAACATTGAGAAGTCAATCACGTCAGACCCCCGTGACCATGGGTGCTAGAAAGCATCCAAAAAAAAACGTCATCAAAATCATTATAATAATGAGTTTTACTTTAACCACAAGAGAAATATTACATACACACTCATTTTCTTTTAAAATTTATATGCACTTACCTTTTCAGGTAATTGTAACGCATGCCAATTATCCATTATATAGGGCATTATAACATTATCTAAATCAAAATAGTTTGGTGCATTATATGCGGTTAGGTTGTAGAGCGCTAGATGAGCCAGATCCAGCCAACAAAGCTCTAACCGCCGTAAGTATTCCGCACCACCATTGCAGTTTGCACACGCAAATATATACAACCTGGAAAAATATCAGTTATAAATTAAAAAAATAAAATATAAGTATATAAATTAAAAGATGAGTTTTACAATTAATAACTTATAGATGCGATCTATTATGGTTAAAACAAAATGTAGGTTAGGATCATAGAATACTATAAACTATAATACACAATAGAATGGCTATCAACCCTATTTTTTACCGAGGTTCGGCGTCGCCGGGAGCACACATACAAGCAATTGCGTCGTATTATCACTACTACAAACCCGATTCGCTGTGTTGACAGACGGATTTTAATACATATTTATTTGTAAATAGCGTGCAATTTGGCATTTTCTAAATTATTTGCATGCGAAATTTGGAAACAATTGTAACGTCATTTATACGTGTGAATTGTAGGGGTCGCAAACCGGGATCCCGAATCTCGAAAATACCGGGATACTGGACTGAAACGAAAGCTTTATAATACCGGAATTGAGTGAACGGAAACCGGTATTTACGACTTTTCGGTATTTCATTATAAATCTTTGTTAAATAATATTATGTCAAATAATTTTAAATAGCCCACGCTTTTCGCGTGGTGGATGCTATGGCAACGCGGCCTGACTATGCAACGCAAGTCGTGCGACTACACTCTGGAGTGAGTGAGAGAGAGTAACCTACTCCCGAGTCCTGAGCCGACGACGAATCCGACCGCTCGCCTATACAACTAATGACGGTGCTAGTGTAATGATCGCATTTGGAAGAGAAGCAGCACTTTTCCACCAGCGATGCCTTGCTCATGGTATACAGTTAGCGATATTAGACGTGCTCTATAAAAAAGAAAACAGTTCTCAAACTCAACTAAGAGAACTGGAAGATCACGATTCTTATGACTTTGCTTTGGAATGATATGGAAAAAATTACTATGACGAGGGAATGACTGGGTGTTACCATCTTCTTGGGATCCTATAAATTATAAAATTAAATCCCAAAACAAGCATACAGTTGCAAGACTTCAAGCCCCATTCTGCGTACATCGGACCAAAAACTAATAATTGTTAACTGAAGGTAGCCGTGTTTAACTATGACACCTGGACGGGAATATAAAATAAATTAAAACACGCAATAAAATTCGTAAAATTTAGTTTCATTTAATCTTCTTCAATTCATTTAAGAGTAAATTTATAACATTCTTAGCTATCGAATTTAAGATATGAACCAGATTTTCTTCTTCTCTAGAGATATCGCTTTTAAAACCGGTGGTAGATTTTAACGTTCATAGAAGTTTTAGATGATCGTAAAGTGAAGAATATATATGACTCTTTCTAACTACACCATGGAACAAAGAAAGCTCTTACTTGATTTCCATGAAAAAAGTGAAGAAAAAAAAAAGATAAATCGCCCAAGAGCATTTTATGTTTTATTAAAGCCGAGTATAATGAAGAAGTGTATAAGAACATGAAGAAGTAAGCCTATGAAGTTACTTAACAGGAGTCAAAGATGTTTATATCTTTGGCAGGAGTATTTTATGTTATTGTTAAGGTTGATTACTGGAGGTTTCTTATGTTTAAATAGTTTAAAATAACTTAGCAGCAGTGAGTTATTTATTAAACTTTAAATAAATGTTTTTTTTTTAAACAAATATAGTTTTCTTATCATATCACACTTTTCTTGATTGGCTGGTGACAATTCGCTTATGAAAATGACGGTTACATTACATATTTTTAAATATTTTTCTCACTATGTAAAAAAACGAAAATACCGAAACTACCGGAATCTCTGTATTCATTAAAATCTAATACCGAAAACACCGGTTTTTGAAAAGAGGTCTGGTATTGCGACCCCTAGTGAATTGACGTCTTGTGGCATTTTAGTGGCTACGCGGGCTCCGCCCACACCCCCGATCTATTATGTATGTAATATAGTATTCTATGGTTAGGATATTTGTATGATACATACTTATCGCCTGCATATAAGGGATACTGTAAACTTGACACACATCTTTGGTGGAACCACCGGGAACATCGACAACACAATAACATCTGAAAATAAGCAATATAAAAATTAAAATGTCTTCAATATAAAATTCTAAAAGCTATTTTAGTAACATACATATTAGTTTTGTACAAAATTTTACCTGTGCAAGCCAATCGCTTTTTTCTCCACAGTAACAATGCGTTTCATTTTGATCTTTCCCACCATCAGACGCAGTAGAAGAGGATGTTGTAGATGCCGTCTAAAAAATTCAGGTAACTTAACTGGATCACAAAAATAAAAATACATCAAAGTCATGGATATGATGACATAATTGTGTGATATTTGCTGCTTGGTATTGGCATAATAATGCATGAGTATTGTTGAAAGACGACATTCCAAAATTTTTAAGATTTGGCATGCATATGTTGCTTAAGCATGCTCAAGTGGGAACATGCTATGCACAGTACTTCTTTTAATAACTTCACAACATAAGCTTCCACCGACAATTGCCACAGAGCACGGTTCTGAGCTATCAGCATCCATTGACTCCCTGCACAATTCATTAGATCGTCACTCCTATGAGGGGGAGGGGATTGCCCAACAATGTATTAATGATAACAACAACGCCTATCCAAAACGTTTATGGATCAATTATTCCTAAGGCATACTATTTGTTCTTTTTAGGATTCAAGGTCGGGGCATTACAGTATCACAATTAAATGCTTAGCCTTTGCGCTATCGAGCCGTACTTCACCATTGCTGATACCATCAGTTCTTCGAGCTATATAGTCGGGCCAAAGTGGTGTATATATCGGGCCATTATAAAGTCGGGCCACTTTAGCCCAACAATCCTTAAGCTATGTCAGCTACTCTTGTTCTACTGCAAGTACTTGACTTAACTGGACAAATTGTATATGTAACATATTATGTACTTACTAGACAAATGTTCTTATTTTTGTGCATTTAGTTTGAAACTGCTACATGTTATAAGATTTAAGATCTGCACACATTGTAATGATATTACTTGTACAGATTGGTAAAACATTGCTCTTACATATCCACTACATAATTTATGCATACATATTTAAAACTTACATTCATTCGCCTTGTGTTACAAGTTGTAAGACAAACCACCACTCCAATTTGAAAAGTCGATTGTCTTATGTATTGTGGCACGAGAAATGCCAGCGAAATCTCATAGCTTTCGTGTAATAAATGTCAGTATCAACATCAAATGTAAGCGGAATTTTAGATCTGGTTTACATTAGGTCAGAACGGCAACGGAAAGTTGCGCCAAAATTGCAAATAAGGCGACTGCTACTCATATGGTGCCAAAATCAACTATTGGGTTTCCCTGTCAAGAAATTCTCAATAGCATATCCCAGGGTCGGGAAATTGGCGGTCTTTCATCCCCAAGCCTCAAAAAACACGAAGCCATTCGTCAAGCGCCTGATCTCTCTCTGTTCGGGTCCGATCGCCGGCCTATCGGAGGATGAGGGTAAGGGCATATGTTTGCGCCAATACCCATTATAATTCTACATTATATACGTGGTATTTTATACGTGGTAGAGCAATACTGCAGTTATATTAGTAGTATAGTTGTAGCTCGAATGGGTCGGCTCGACCGCGGAAGGACCACGCTCTCACAGAATACCGGCGTGAAATAGTAACTTAACGCTGCTGTGTTTCGTATGGTGAGTGTAGAGACCGGAGACCCTTTTTACTGGAAACGAGGCATTCCATCTTAGTCCTCACGGGTGACAACGCATCTGCATTTTGATTCGTAATCGAGGATAGATGTAGATGTCTATGGACCGCAGCAACTACTTACCATCAGGTGGACTGTGTGCTCGTTTGTCACCCTATCCTATATAAAAAAAATTATAATACTGCACTTTGCAGATGGCTAGTCCCAGCTAGGACTGACTCCCATGATCGAAATTCGGTCTGGCGGACATTATTTTAATTGCGATCGGCAATAATTAGCCCGATAATCATAGCGATTATGGCAAACCTTCTCTATTAATAGTGGCTGCACATCAGCCATAAACTGTTCAAAGCTGCTGAAGAAGATAACTTACATCACAGGGCGGGGTAAGTTCCTGCTGCTGCCGTCGCTGCTGGCCGCCTTTAAACCGAAACAAGTCAGATCGCTTCATTGCTCGGTTCTCTGCCGCCGCAACTCGGTACCTTTGATCCACGCATCGCTTGCAATGCCACGATGCACCTTAAGAAATTAAAAGATATATAACAATATAACAACATAAATATATTTTTTGGTTTGCCCCTTGCATTACAATAAATTCATAAATTGCATATTTTAGAGGATAGATAGATTGGCGTTATGGCTGATACTATCACCCACACTTGTATGCATTGAACTTGCTGTAAGCTTGAGCATGTAGAAGTGTAATATATGACATGCGTAAGCATTTTAATTGTAAAATACATGGTGAAACTGCTCATTTTCATGTTTATTTAAAACTGATATAATAAAATATCTAACGAAAAAAGGAGACAGAAGACAACAGGGTATTTAGGTTCATTTTATGTTTCATATTTTAGTTAACAAAACAAAACGTTATTTTGTTAAAATGACTTTCTGTTGTCAAAAATTTACATTTTATTTTATAGAAATTAAAGCGACATACAAGCTCTTATTTCACCAAATGTTGTATATTGTTCCATAGACACCTACATAGTCTACATTGCAGACGCGTGGTCACCCTCTGAGGACACACAATTCAACTTTTGCTTTTTGTTGGGGCATTTAGCACATTATATAAGTACCCTTCAACATAGAACTGTACATAGTTGGAGTTATGTCGTTGTAAGCATATAATAAATAGTTCACACAAAAACATTATACTATATAATCATTCATATATCAATTCATTTTTTTGGGTTAAAAGTTCTTGTCTATGGCTTTGTTTAGTTATCTGAGTCGTACTTTATTTATTGTGTTTTGTTGAAATAAATAGTTCTTTTGAAATTGCCGTTCTGCAGTATGTGCTTGTTTGCCTGGTTCCGTTCTGGAAATTTCGACCTGAAAAATGAACCCCGTGGACGACTGAAAACTTTGGTCACCAACGAATTAAAGAGGGTAGTACAAAACGCCTTTGGATAATTTGTTGCCTTCAGGCCAGCTGATTTCTTCAGAAAGAGCATCATTATTGCGTTGGCTAAGATGCATCGATTGCATGGATTATTACTATGATTAATAGAAAGAAAAAAATATAGAAAAAATTACGTTAACTTATTTCACAAAATTTATTTCAGTTAGTAGTTCGTTTATTTCATAAAAACGGCGATTTCATAAGTAAAGACTTAATATAAGGACACATTAGCGCGTCTTAGGAAGTTTAGTGACGGGTAATAAAAAAAGTTATTTATTATAAACACAGGTACGCGAAATGCGCTGTATAAGCGTTATTGACTCGAACATAATTTACTTCTATATATTTATATAAATAGAAAAAAACATTTTTCAAATTAGCATGTTGTAAAATGTAGTGTTGAATTGAGATTCACAGTCATCTCACATGTCGCTTGTTGCTTCGCTGTTCACCTCGCATGTCGCTTAAGCGTGATTACGCAGTAACATGCCACGCACAATACCTCATTTGATTCCAGTTCGATAATAAATAACATCAGTGTGTCCTTTGCCCTATTCCTTGCCGGGCGACGAACGGCACTAAGCGTGACAGCCACTACTGCAGATGTTTCAGTCGGATAATATAAATCACAGCCACCTATCTGTCCCTCACCGTGTATCCGGTCCTCGACGGGCGGTGAGTGGCACTTGGCGTGGTAGCCGCGGCCACACATGTCGCAGGCGACGACCGTGTTCGCAGCGGCGGTGTCCTCCCGCCGCTTGCACACCACGCACATGATGCGGCCGTCGTCCGCGGGCGGTGCGCTCAGCAGTTTCAGCGAAGATACGGGCGCCCACGCATGGGTACCGTCACCGAACTTCACCAGGCATCGCGCCACACCCGTGCCCACCTCGCACGAGTCATTGTCATTGCTCGTGCTCAGCTCAACTATTGTCCCTGAGCGACAGACAAATGTATTCCAGAATTTATTAAGCGACAGTAGCCTAATGGCAGGGCGCGGACCACGAACTCAAAAGGTCGTGGGTTCGAATCCGCCATTCGACTACTGGCGTGAACCACTCTTAACACAAGCAATTTAAGCTTACCACGAGTGGTTAAGGGGAATATTAGTAATATTTATTATAACATTGTTAATATTCTTTTTAATTAAAAAAAAAGAAAAAGAATTTGGAATTGTAATTAGAAAATATATTATTGTTTTATTATTTATAAAGCATCTGTTATAAAAAGCATATAGAAAGCAATTATCATAAAAATAATATTTGATGAAGCAATTGTTATAGATCTATTTTTGTGTTTTTATGACAATGTATGTAAATCTTTTATTATTTTTACCTAAGTAATATCTGCCATCTTTGTTGAGTACCAGGACATCATCTCCACAATGGAATGGGTTACCATTATTCTTTTCCGTGTTGGTTGTTGAGTCTGGCATTGCATCCTGTGTTTCTTCTTCTTTTTTTTCATTCTTTTTATTGGCGCATGGCGTAATGGTTTTGTCAAGGTCGCTCAGAAGAACATCGATCAGGGATAACTGTGTTGAAACCTCTTTGAAAAAATAATTCATATAAGTATGTGTCATATAAGTTACTAAAAATTAAATTTAAATATATTTATATGTTAACGCCTTCTGCCATAGATTGCTTCGTAGGGGGGATATTTATTATAAGCCTACGTTCAGCACTGGACTTTTGATACTCATACAATAGGTATTAAGAAAAGACAGCTCTCTAAAATGAATATACTTAAGTTATAATAAAGCATATATTATAAAAGGTGTCAACGCCTAAACATATTTACATGATATTAAACAAGATCAATTATATTTTGTACTTTTAATAACTGCAATATTACAATTTTTAAAATGTCGTAGAAAATTTGAATGTATGTATATATGTATCTATATTATTGTTAACATATTTAAAACTAAAATCACGAAAGCCTTTTAAGCTACGCACAATACCTCGCGCACAATTATTTTTATTATCACTTATGTACTTAAGTATTAATTATCTCAATAGCTGTCTCTTTCTATATGTATGTATTATCATTTAGTGAAGAGAGGGAGAGAAACTAAGGATTTTAATAAGTTGTTAAGCACATTTAAAAGACATGCTGCCGTTAGGGCATATTTTTTGGAAAATGTACAAAAAAGTGGACTTAAGTCCAGTCCGCCATTTTATACATCATTATACTATTTGCAGTTTTTTTATTATGATTATTTTATTATTTTATTATGCAGTCGCATTACACGAGGAAACTGCGAGGGCGTCATGTCCCAGGGCGGCAGATTTTATGTGATGTGTTGTATTGATAGCGATAATGATACACATGAAACGTAATAGCTTTCTTATTTACAAAGTTTTTTTTACTGATATTTGTTCACAACAAATGTTAAATAATAAGCAACTCCAAGGTGGAGACATTGTAGTGCCACAAGAATAAGTACTACGAAACAAGCACTTATACCAAGTTACCCTTGGCTGGATGCATTGACGTAAACAAATTATTTAATGAGTTTGGAGGTAGGTTAGATTGCACATGAAGAGACAATTTTATAATTTTTGTTTTACACAATTATTGGGTCTGGAACAAAAAACCAAGTATTCTGAATACTATGCTATGCAGTTGTGATACTAAGATGAAATTCATGTATCAGTTCAAGTGACTATCAGATTTTTTTTAATAAGTGAAATACTTTGGTAATCGCCCCATATCGCCAGTCTGGGTATTACTAGTGGGTAGTCTGCGTTTACTGTTATCTATTAGACGCAATTGAGCCCAGTCTAGACCGACGCGACGCCCGGGATATCATGGAAATAGTGTCGGTTGAGACTTGCTTTTATATCGTTAGTCACACTTGCGTGTTGCTCCAACCACGAGCTGTCCTTAGAACCTCCCTATCTTAGTCAAGATCGCAAGTGTCGCGGAAATGACGCTGCCGCAATCGGTCTCCAATTTAGATGGGTCTTTTCGGGAAAAATATCTGGCAAAGGCTTTGCAGTCTTGGTCGGCTCAATCGATTCTTTTATATCATCGTATTAAAGTTGCGTAAGTCTCGCCGCACACATTTAGAGATCTGTCAATTAATTTCCTGTATACTGTCATATCAGTTAAATACTGCACCTTCATTTTTTCATCTAACTAATCTAACAGCCATGAGAGTGTGATCGAAAAGATTTTGCGTTCTGCTAGGATGGACCTCGCATTTAAATTTTCTAGGCACTGAAAACTTTTTTGTAATTTGAGTTGAAAGTTTTCGGGACTTTAGACTAGACCATGTGGAGTGGAGTGTTGACTTCATTAGACGTGACCTTATCAACTTAAGGTTAAGATTCAGTTTTTCCCTCTCACTTCTTGTGTTATATTACATGTCTTGTTGTCATAATATTGACAATCTCATTTTTCGTCGAACCATCGGGATTAAACTAAGTCTACTCTCTGCAGGGCAGTTTCTAGACGAAATAATACATAATAAAGAATACTTCCTTCTCATAGAAGTCAGCCAGCTATTGACCTCTTGTTAAATTTCATTGCCCTATTCCAAATTTCTCTACCTTCAGCTCGCCATCAACAAATGGCGTGTGGCGAGTCTGGGTAAGATACGCAACCCTTGCAGGTACACTACCAATCTTCACAACATTGTTAACAACATTTGTGGACGATAAATCTGACACCTCTAGTGACAAATGGCAGCTCTCGCAGTGATAGAACAAGTTGCTGAATTCAAAGATTACCGTGTCCCTCGTCCTTTCTTTGGGACCTCATATAACTACAGGATCTCCTCGTAGGTCCTCAGGGTGCATATGTTAATGTCACTAGTCTGTGTCGTCGAAGGTAGGAACCAAACCTCCACCACCACCGTAGTAAGGAATAGCGGTGCCACCAGGGATTGTATTACATTAAGTGTAATAGTAATGTGTGTGTAATATAAAATTTACTAACAAATTGGACTGCTTATTTTCAAAAAATTCCGGGATACACTAATTACACGCGATTTCTAGCTATCATAGATTAGTCACAATAACTGCCTTCTTTGTTTAAAAAATAAAAAAAATCTTGTCATTAATTTCGACGCTTTTTATAATATATATTACGATAATATTTATCCGAGTATTATATGTAGTTAATATCTGGTCGTAAAATCATTGAAATTGGACATTTAACTTTAGCAACATCCTGAAATGAAAATAAGTTGTGCAAGAACATCGAGGCAATCCAAGTTTTACCTAGATGGCGCTATGTATAGTAATGTACAAGTAAGTTTTGAGTTTTACGTTGTAATTTTGAAGCTTTATTTAGAGAAATTGGTACAGTGTATGTTATTCAAAGAAATACCTATCGCTTTCTACTACCTTTGAACATCTCTAAGGCAGCATACGGATACCGCGTTTAAAAATTCTTCATCTTTTGAGGCGATTCAAGAATCGACTTAATTTTTTACTTCTTCATAAGAAGTGAAGTGCTGCTCGGCCTGGTCATGAGCCATCGAAAGGAACGCTTGTAATTGGAAGGACCAATGTCTGGCGATTACGGCGGGTGGGGTAGGACATCCCAGTCCCTGTTAAGTGTCTCCAAAGTTTCCTTGTGGACTATAGTTTCGTTAGGTTGGAGTAGCTAGAGCTGAGTAGATCATTCGGGGCTGATGCCACCAGACGTTCGGCGTCTCTTGGCTTGAGTTCACGCGGAATCCAATATCCTTCTTTTTGCACCATACCCATGGCCTTGAGACGGTTTGAAATAGCATGAGTCGCTCTCAAGGTTTCAGTGAGCTTCTCTTTATTTTGGCATGCATCTTGGTCACCGTCTTCGAATTTTACGCATGTTGTCCATATGCTTCACACACCAATCTATGTCCTTCAGCTGCACCTTTTTTCAAGTTAAAGCAAAACGCCTTGACATGGTTAGAGCACAAAGAATGCCAGTTAATTACATTTTAGCGAAATTACACATACTGATTATCAGAAAAAAACGGTGACGCTAATTTGTAAACCCAAGAGACACCTACATGGTAAATCGCCAATAACAGTTTTTTTTATTAATGGTTAAAGTTCCGTTTGAACACTATGTTCAAATATCAAAAAATTCATCAAATCAAATTACTTTCAAAAGAGGAAGCAAAAATAATTCGAAATTTGTCAGATAATGCTACAGAGTATCCCATGTAGTTTTTAAATTCTTTGGAGCAATCTGGAGTACCAATATAGGCTGGAAAAATAGTTGGAGTACCCTTTTTATTAACGCGTAACCTGGGCCTGACTTGACCGTGTAGTATCAGTATAAGAATATCTACTATCCCATATCGTCCCGTTCCAGTGATTAAGAGGCGACAGAGGGAATCAAACCAAGAGATGTACAGCAGCATTTTTCTAGTAACAACTAAAGATTATACAACGGATCTTAATTGCGAGTCATCCAGCTAGCGAGAAATATTGTGAAGGCAACAGTTTTATCACGAGAAGCTGAGGGGCTATGCTCATACTACGTATTTAACCTGTCATTTAATTTTAAACGATTACAATTCCCATTAAAAGTAGCATTTACAACGACAATCAACAAACACCGGGGTCAAACCATAATAGTAGCCTGATAAAATTTGGGTATGTCATGTGATTTCCCACTATCAGCTCTACATAGCTATTTCACTTGTTTTCAAGACCCAAAATATGCATGTTTAGATTGAACGAAACAAATAATGTAGAAATGTATTGAAGTAGAACATTTATACATCCTTAAATTTTCCTTTAAAGCTTCCCCCATAAATTGCCTACTGGATATTGGATACCTGGATATTTGCCATAGTTGCCATGCTTGACAGGTGGATAAGCAACCGCAGGGTTGTTATCAAAAAGATGTTGCTGCCTATCTCCTGTTTCATTCCTCTCTATTGTCTCTTACAATACTCACTGGATAACTATCTTTAGGCAGCCGATCTTGAATAAAAATAATTTCACAAAAAAAATTGGTCCGATTTTAATTAACGCGTGCGAAGCCGCCGGTATAAGATAGTTTGTAATACAATCAGTTGGGCCACGTAGGTTACTGTTTCTACTATGGATATCCTCGTTATAAAGTCTATTACAAAAGGAACCCTCTTCATAGCTCGCTGAGCGACCTTGAACTTCCTTATTTGGCCAACAGTTAAGGACGATGTTTGAAATCCATATTATGTTGTCACTGGCAACACATACTGGTGATACATGCTTTCAAGTTTTGAAGTATACATAACGAAATGAGAGGGGTGTCCTCTACCCCTACATCCGCAGCCGAGGTGGAGTCGCGGGGGAAGAGGAGTGTTGGTATGGCGATTGGCCGCTGTCCCCTTCCTCCGTTTGTTGCGAAGGTTAAGGTTTGAGGCCGTGGAATAAGGCGCGCCTAGCGTTCTAGTGCGTCTTACTTAAGAAAGCATAAGGGGATGAGTTATACTTTCCCAAGGAGGCAAAAGGTTTTCCGCCATGAGAGAAAAGTTGCTGTTGGGGCTGCAGATGTGTGTGGAAGCGTTCCTGTGGCTATGCAGCGAAGATGGAATACGACGGCGTTTTAATCGATTTGAGTTCTATATAAACTGTCCTTGCACCTATGAGGAGAGTATGCTCAATTCTCTAGGAACATAACAAGTTTTGTACTTCGGTACTTTGAAAGTCATTATAACACTAGGTACTGAACACTTTAGCACTTCAATATATCAACAGTCATCTTTGCACCGCTGAAGGATCTATAACATCGCCTGAATATTGACGGAACCAAAAGTTTTCTCATAGTCCATGTACACCAGATTAAGTGGCTAATTGTACCTACCAGTCTTCTGTAAAATTTGCCAGAGTGTGTAAGTGATCCTTGATACTAAAGCCGTATTATTCATAAGGTTGGGAATCCGATTTTGGGGGGGAAGATTTAGGGGCTGTTTTTTTTTTTTTGGGGGGAGTGGGGTGTTGTGGGGGTCTTTGTAAAAAAAGGGGTAGAATGGTTTTGTGTTGTTGTGTAAAAGTTTGTGCAGGAAATTGATGAAATAGAGGGCTTAGGACCATGCTTTGTGGCAACCCTTGAAAAAGGTTTATGATCAGAGATGGAATTGTGGTAAGCTATATTGATGATGTACTACATACAATCACATGATTTTATTCCAGAATACTTAAATACATTAATTTTACTTGTAGATGTCAATTAATTTCATACATTTTTGATAAAATAAATGCCATTCCCATTTCTAAGACCTTAGACTAGCAAGTAATACTACAGCTTCTTCACTGCTGAACATAGACCTCATCACGCTTCTGATGCTTACCGGTCATCATTACATCTAGTGGGGGGCTGCCCTACACTTTCCCTACTAGTATAGAATTTACAAATAAATAATCTCAAAATTTTTTCGAAATCAGCATGGCTTATAATTTCCTTTACAGATGTACCAAATTTATTTATTTTTAATTTATAACTTCATATATATGGTTTCAATGTCAAAAGCATTATCTACCAGTCTTCCTTGTTAAATTAGAACTTAAATTAGCAATTTTCATTGGCAAAAATGTATTGCACTCTATGGAAATAATGTGACTACTGTCAGTTGACCAATTGATCAAAATTAGCAATTTACATATTATAAAATTCTTGAACTCAAAAATCATAACTAATAATCCTTGGACTCAAATATCATCTCTCATGGGTTATATCCATAAGCTTGCTTGCTGTCGTGGTGTTGTAGGCAAATATGTTGTGTTGCCAATGTTTACAAAAATGGCAATTATTAGGAAACTGCTGAAAGTTTTTACTTTAATATAAAAATAATAATATTCTATGATTATAATGCTGTTATATTTTATGATAAGTTCTATGAGATTTTTCATTTATGAGGAAATATTAGCAAAATTTTGGAAAAGTCATGCTTTTCGTAATCTTGATTATACTAAAAAACTAATATCTTTTAGGGTAAAACCATAGACATTCGGTACTTGCATACGAGGGTGGGAGAGAGGATGAGTGCAGGGAAAGACCCTCTACCGGGAAGGGTACCTTTTCGGAAATGTATAGTTCATGAGTAATAACTTTTTGTAAAATAATAGCTTCACTTTTAAACAGGAATATTGACCCAAAGTTACTTCTACAACGGCTTTGACGCTGCAGGAAGTGCAATCCCTTCACCTTTGCGAAACAAAACACAGGCACCCACTCTCACCTCCGCAGCTTTGGCTTAGTTACCTTTGGAGACCAGCCTCAGCCACTACAAATCGCACAGGTGCCTGCAATTTGCTATGGCGGGCGGGGGGGTATTCTCCCATAAAGTCAGGTTACGCTGAACTCTGCTATGATGGTGGTAAATTAAACAATGTAATGTGAATCGTTATAACTTTGTTTTCTAAAAAACTTCTTGACTGCTCTCCACTGCAACTTAATCTGTTGTATATGAGTCCCACCTACAGTCACAAATGGATTGTCTGAGTCTGAGTGATTAGCTTTTGTATGAGTGTATCCATGTTAATAAAAACAAATTGACATATTTTGTTAAATTTAAATTTTTAGTTAAATTTATTTTTATCATAATTTAAAAGGCATTTTCGAAATCCAAAAACAGTGTAAAGGTTTCAAGATTAATCCTGACAAACCTCCTGAATTAAAAACAACTTTAAAAAATCAAGTACCGGACATCTACTTAATCACATTGAAATATTTGTGTTTTGTTACAAGCAATTTTCAGTAAAATCTTTATTGTAATTAATAAATTAAAAAAAAATATTGTAATTAATTCAAAACACATTTCCGACATCTAAAAGCAGTGTGTGGTTCAAACTTAACCCTAACAAGCCTTCTAAAATAATTAAAATTAAGTACGTTTTTCTCTTTTAGTAAAGGAGTTCAATAAAAAATATGCTAAATAACCAAGAGACAAGGAACTTATGGCTAAGGGCTTCTATTGTGACTAAGAGTTTTCTTTAAGCCCAGAACTATCAATTAACCACATTTAGAAGAAAAGCCAATTGTTTTATGCATTTTATTCAAGATAATAACCCCACATTCAATCAAATAACCAGCACTTTCCTCTCAGTCATTTAGTGAGTGAAAAAATTTACATAACACACAATGGTATTAAGAACAATTTACATGTATTGCATGAAAAAAGAGAGGTTAAAGTGTTCCTTTTCTTGCAAAAGGAACACTTTAACCTCTCTTTTTTCATATAACATTTAATTGAATAGGTTGGAAGAGTAACACATATGTGTGTGTATTGATTCAAATAAAATTATACATATTTTGACTCTGTATTTATGAGTTTAAGGAATTTGTTGTAACAACACAAACAGTATGAACACTTAAAATGTAAGTTGGTTTTACATAATATTATAAGTACTTACTTGTATGCAATGGTTATCCAATGGTTAGCATTAACAAGTAAATTTTATTATTTTTTGAACTGCATAAACTATATTTAATTGCTTTTTAATGTAGCATTAACATTACAGTCTAAAACATTTCGTGATAATATAATTGATCATTTATTTAATTTAAAAATTTTATGTCAGTATGCAGCTAATAGTTTTGTTAATGTGTGTATTTTATAAAAATCCGTATCAAATTGTGACTTTTAATGACATGAGGTTAGACAACATTAAATGTAAATCCTTATTCTTGTCTGACTAAAAATATACCTTAAAAATATAAGTAAATGCAGAATAATAATGAAGCATGACAACATATAAAATATAAGTTGTCATATTAAAGGGTTTTATTTCAAACTAGTGCATTTATCAGAAAATCTGTAAGTCTTTAAATTTATGATTTATAGGTATTACTTATGAGTATAAAATTCAGAAATTATTAGGGTTTATTTATACCAGTAAGGTATAAAGTTAATGCAGTCTTAGTTACATTTTAATATAACTATATTTTGGTGTGTGTTTGTTACTGTAATTCATATTGGGAATGTATTCCTAAAAACGAAATACTTATCGTAACCTCAGTAAAAAAATTCCAGTGTTTTGTGATATTTTTAAGACCTATCAAACTATCTAAGCAAAAACTTACCAGCGTCCATTTCAAATAAGTTTCTATTTGATTTAGACAACATACAGAAACCTTATTCCATTTTAAAATTGTATGTAAGAACAAACACTAAAAGCATTGGCGCTATTGCGGCCATTATAGTAGTCGAACGTTTCACAGTTTTCCCGCGGTAATAAAGTAAAAATTATAAAACGTTCAATGAACATATATTTTATTTCATTACTTATATATCGTCAAATCCATTTTTTTTAATTTACACGTTTATGCAGTCATATTACTCAAAATTCATTATAAAAATTACAAAATTCCACTTCAAATTCTCTAATCGGATATGAACATAGATAAATAAGTATGTAGCAAGCTAGATATGAACTACTACTACACAGATAAAAAAGTTACCACCAGTGCTGCCACATGCTAAACCAAAAAATCTTTCGTCTTAAGAATCTGTATAAAATCTGTAAACGCTAAATAATATAAAAAAAGGAAAAATAAAACAAACTATTATAATAAATGAAATTATAAATATTTATTACTTTTCATAAATATTTTATTCATCTAATGATTTCTTAAATTTACGCGAACACTACACATTGAATAAAACTATTATTTACGGATTTTATCGCGTTTAATTACTTTAATTTATTTTTATTATTATCCCGACGTTTCGGGTGCTTTACAGCGCCCATGGTCACGGGGGGGGACTGAGATGTTTGACGTCCCAATGTCATAGTTAGTCCGGCTACCTTCAGTTTTTTAATATTAATTTTTGGTCCGATTTACGCAAAACGAGCTTATAGTATCATGAAGTCTTGCAGTGGTATGCTTGGGTTTGGGTTTAATTTTGTTAATTATAGGATCCCAAGCAGATGGTAGCACCCAACCATTTTCTCTATTGAAATTTGGATGTTTTTTAATTTCAATAGCCTCGCGTATCATCCTTGGTAGTAATCGGTGTTCTTTTGCGAGAATTTGTGGTTTATCAAATCTAATGTAATGGTGGGGACGATCTTGAACATGTTCGCAGACTGCAGACTTCCCGGAGCGTCGGTGCTTCACATCAGCTATATGTTCCTTCACGCGGGTTTTTATAGATCTCTTTGTTTGACCTGTGTAAGAGAGACCACATTCACAATCTAGCTTGTACACACCTGCATCTTGTAGAGGAATATTACATTTGATGGATGGTAAAAATTGAATAATCTTCTTCAGCGGCTTGTAGTATGTCTTAATGGACGCTCGCTTCAAGATGTAGCCAATCTTGTCTGTGACTCCTCTAACATATGGTAGTAGAGCAGGCGCGCGCTCGACTGTGGCCGGCTTCACTCGTTCACTGTGACGTAGGCGCGGGACCCGAAGCTTGTTGTCTTGCAATACTTGCTTGACGTGCTGAAGCTCCGCGGCCAGATGTTTTCTGTCACAGATCCCTCGTGCTCTCTGAAACAAAGATTTACCCACGGTAGCTAACTGTGAAGGATGATGGTGAGATTCACCATTTAAATATCGGTTGGTATGGGTCTTTTTCCTATACACAGTGTGACCAATAGTGTTATCAGGATTTCGGATGACTAAAACATCTAGGAAAGCTAAAGAATTATTTGCCTCTAACTCCATTGTGAATTGTATTTTAGAGTTTATGGAGTTAAGGTGGTCTAAAAATGCAGTTATTTTGTCAGATGGTAAAATTGTGAAAGTGTCGTCTACGTACCGCTTGTACAACCTCGGTGTTATGGGTTATGGGTTACCGAAGATACACAAACCAAACGCTCCACTACGTCCCATAGTGAGCCAGATCGATTCACCAACCTATAAGCTGGCACAATACTTAGCAAAAATACTATCACCACTAAGAGGACATACCAGAGCACACACAAAGGATTCATACCATTTTGTGAGTGAGATAAAAGACCTACATCTCGCTAACAATGAAACTATGGTCAGTTTTGATGTTCAGTCACTATTTACATGCCTACCTATTGTGGACTGCATCTCAATTGTAACTAGGAAGCTAGAAGAAAATAACATGCCTCAAGAATATGCAATACTACTTGAACATTGCCTCACATCTGGCTATCTATTGCGGAAGGAGGAGTTCTACAAGCAAGTAGATGGTGTGGCGATGGGCTCACCTGTGTCTCCCATAGTCGCCGACATATTCATGGAGGACTTTGAGGAGAAAACCCTTCTTACTGCTCCTGTAAATCCAAGGTTCTACAAGCGGTACGTAGACGACACTTTCACAATTTTACCATCTGACAAAGTAACTGCATTTTTAGACCACCTTAACTCCATAAACTCTAAAATACAATTCACAATGGAGTTAGAGGCAAATAATTCTTTAGCTTTCCTAGATGTTTTAGTCATCCGAAATCCTGATAACACTATTGGTCACACTGTGTATAGGAAAAAGACCCATACCAACCGATATTTAAATGGTGAATCTCACCATCATCCTTCACAGTTAGCTACCGTGGGTAAATCTTTGTTTCAGAGAGCACGAGGGATCTGTGACAGAAAACATCTGGCCGCGGAGCTTCAGCACGTCAAGCAAGTATTGCAAGACAACAAGCTTCGGGTCCCGCGCCTACGTCACAGTGAACGAGTGAAGCCGGCCACAGTCGAGCACGCGCCTGCTCTACTACCATATGTTAGAGGAGTCACAGACAAGATTGGCTACATCTTGAAGCGAGCGTCCATTAAGACATACTACAAGCCGCTGAAGAAGATTAGTCAATTTTTACCATCCATCAAATGTAATATTCCTCTACAAGATGCAGGTGTGTACAAGCTAGATTGTGAATGTGGTCTCTCTTACATAGGTCAAACAAAGAGATCTATAAAAACCCGCGTGAAGGAACATATAGCTGATGTGAAGCACCGACGCTCCGGGAAGTCTGCAGTCTGCGAACATGTTCAAGATCGTCCCCACCATTACATTAGATTTGATAAACCACAAATTCTCGCAAAAGAACACCGATTCCTACCAAGGATGATACGCGAGGCTATTGAAATTAAAAAAACATCCAAATTTCAATAGAGAAGATGGTTGGGTGCTACCATCTGCTTGGGATCCTATAATTAACAAAATTAAACCCAAACCCAAGCATACCACTGCAAGACTTCATGATACTATAAGCTCGTTTTGCGTAAATCGGACCAAAAATTAATATTAAAAAACTGAAGGTAGCCGGACTAACTATGACATTGGGACGTCAAACATCTCAGTCCCCCCGTGACCATGGGCGCTGTAAAGCACCCGAAACGTCGGGATAATAATAAAAATAAATTAAAGTAATTAAACGCGATAAAATCCGTAAATAATAGTTTTACTTCATATATTTTATTCATCTTTCTAATAAGTTCCCTACCTATATTTAATGTATAGCATGGCTCATTGTTAAGCAATTGCTTCGTTAGTAGCAGCCTCTCTGTTGTCTCAGTACGTAAATGAGTTCCGTGTTTTTGTTTTAAGTTGATTGACGAAAATATCTTTTCTACTGCAGCACTGAAATGGGGGAGGCATAATAAAGCGGTAACTATAATATATTCATAGCAGCTTTAGAGTTGGTTACTTAAAGATATCCGTCACTGTTTTGTGCACAATAAACTTTTTGCCAGAAAACTTGGATATCTTCATTATAATCCAAAATACTATCATTCATTCTTAAATGATGCCACTCATTGTCTAATGTTTGTAAATTTTCTGGTTCTATTAAGTTTGAAAAAGCCTGTGCAATGTGACTCAACGAAGCTATACTTCAGCGTTTACTTACAATCGGGTCAAGAAGTTATAAGCTCTTTGTGATTTGGTTGTCAAAATTGTAACGGGTCTTTATTTGTTTTGCTTCCTCCTATTAAAAATCCAGGCATCGTAGCTTGAACAATTTTACATCACTGGGCTTCAAGTTTGGATCAGACAAAGACATGGCAACATTTATGTATATATCTATGTATATTTCAGTTATGACGTGGGGATTGAGTGAAAAGGATATAAAATCAATGTATTTTACAAATAGAAATATGTTATTATATATACAAGTATTAATTCTAGAGTCGGCGGATTAAAGCACATAAGTCAAAGTATTGCTCTATTTTTTCTTTTCTACCAAAATTATTAAGTAATTTAAATCAATACATCAGCAGACTAAAGAACATAAGTTAGTTCACTTGGTAGCGATTGATTCTCAAGTGGCGTCCTATTAAACCTCTTGATTCCCATGAATCTTGTGACGTTATAAAAACATAAGTTGAGTTATGTTGACGCTCTCAGACTTCATTGATACCGAAAGTGACATATGTTATTAGGAACTTTAAGTGCGTCGTATTATGTCGATGTTTAATGGATAAAACATTATTTATTACTAAGAATAAAATAAGGTGTTAAGATTTGGGTCACTAGCCGAACTAGTTTTGCTCTGATTGCTAATAGAAATAACAGTTGTGGTGATTGCCAGCGAGACAAGAAATTATTTAAGATGGTGATGAGTAGAAACTCAAATGTTGAAGGTAAGTTTGCCTTGTTTCATTTAAATGAGAAATTAAAAATTTAATCATCTTACATCGTAGTTTTAGTAAAAATCATCAGTAGGTAATTTAATAATTTTGACATCGATCATAAATAAATAATTGAAATTATTATTTTATTTTTAGCCTCAACGGCATATTTATAATTTTAGATGAACAAAATGAATCGCAATCTGTAGGGACTATGACGAAAAAATAACCAATGCTTTCCATATCATTGGGCTACAGTGGAGACATGTTTATTAATAAAAATGGATTTCTCAAGTGATAATTCAGCCAAGATCCACATTTCGAACTCCCTGATACAGCAACAGATTCGTCAACATCTAGTGACATATAGACTCATCCGGGTACTGACCGAAGAGCCGACACGCCACAGGCGGTCGAAAAATCTCCAAAAAAGTATTCGCATTACGAAACAGGAAAAGAAAAAATGTGATACTCAAGTGACTAAAAATGACAGTACTGTGCAAGTTAGCTCTCAGTTCTTCTGTAGCTTTCTACAAA